TCGTCCCCAGTCGCTCTAATTGTTTGTACTATGTTAAACCAACTAGGCCATCAAATTATTTTGCTTGTGGATACTGCGGGAGAGGTTAATGCTGCGGGCCTCGGCAACGGGTTTCCCCTCCACGTCGCATTCGACGTCGAAAGGAAAGACTGCCGTCGGGAGCGGGGGGTAGCTAACAAAGTCCTTGCTGTCAGTCGCTAGCCGGCTTTGGCATGGCAGAAACTGCCCCACCGCTTCCCTTCCTGGCACTGTCTGTGAGGAAGGGTTGAGAGAGAGGAAGATCGCCCCCGGGTGGCGGGTGTGAGTCCCCGCCGCCCAAGCTCCGACTGCTCGGAGTCTGGTACTCTCCCTTGTTGACGCCAATTTGCCCGCCGGTGCTCGGTCCCAGGAGAAGACCTAACTGCGGGTCGCTCTTACCGAAGGGGCTCAAGGTGTACCCCCCCCGCCTTGCCTTCAGACGAAAAGGCGGAGTCGGGAAAGGAGCCCACCCGAAACTGAGTTTGAAGCCAGCCATGAGCGGGTAGAATGGGCTGGCGCTCCGCCGGCGGCGCTCCGGTACACACTGGCCGAGCCCGTCTGGCCGTGTGGTAGGAGACTCGATGCCGGTTCATCGACAAAAAAGACCGGAACTTTCCCGAAGGACCGCGAGAAAAACTCCAGCTAGCCTTGTCTCCTTCAGCTGGTCCCCGTGTCATACAGTCATGCAATAACACTTTGAAATGTCATCTTGAGCCAAAACACAAATGTCTGTGACATGCTGCAGCTTCAGGCACTCCTTCTCATGCAAAGACGCTTCTTCTTTGTTCAAGGACTTTTTGAAGAAGTGAAAGCGAGTAATAAGATATAATTTAGTGATTTGGTTGGTCAGATCAGCACAAGGCTATGTAGAACCAACTGAAACGTAGCTCCTTTGGAGACGAGAAGTCAGATCAACTACACTATCTTGGTGCAGTTCGTTGTAGCTGAACCACATGGGTAAAGGTGACCACAGCGGCCTCAACGAAAATGAGGAGAGCTTTTCGGGCGGGTAAGGGAGTCCTCTTTCGTCGCAGAACTCTGTGAGCGTTGCAAGGTCTTCATTTGCATTCTCGGAAGATACGAGAAGCTCATCAAAACAGTCGTTGCATGCAGTTTTCAGTACGGTTTTCCTTGCATTATACCCTGCAATGTAGAAGACAAGTCTAGCGTCGCTTGTCTTCTCAGGGTGTACATGGTTAGGGACAAGCATCAATTTTTTCAAGGCCGTTGATTCTTCTTCCAGCTTGCCTTAATCGAGCAATTAATCCACTTGATCGGCTCCTGTTTCAGTACTAAGAAGAGATGTTAGCCTTTTGCACAGTTGCCACTGCTTGGTGCTTTGACCAAGTCATAGAAGCTTTGATAGTTCACCGTGATCAAAAACTGTGCATGTTGCCGTGGAGCGGCCATTGCACCTGAAAATTGTCGAATGATGTTGAATGAGTAGTTTGCGCAAGATCAGGTTGTAACAGAAGACCACAATGCATTTCACGTTTGAAACTTGCACAATTTGAAGAAATAACAACTGATCTAAAATCTAGGTACAAGTATTTCAATATATCATATAGAAGAGGAAATTAGTGACCCTCTGCAACTAGCCAAACTTTTTTTACTGCGGTTCTCAAAGTGCCAAGGAGTATTGTATAACACTTTATTGCAATAAGATATATGATGCTTATCAGGTATGTTGTTTCCGACACAGGAAGCGCACCAGAAAACACCAACTTGAAAACATCACCGCAGAAAATAATTAAATAAACCTGCTGTAAACACGAAATCCTACTGATAATTGACAAGACCTCTAAAAATATGTGAAATGCCTACTCACCTGGCTCCAGCCATTTGCGTTCTTCAAGTGGATTATGGAAGTACCTTGTGTACAGTCCTGGTTGGCCTTCATGGATGTTAATCACATGCCTTGTGATGCTCGTCTTTGCGTCCACGCCGGCTAGCAGCTGCCACCCAATACATGTGGTTCACAGCTGGCTGTGACCACAGAGCGAGCACACCACAGTCCTTCCCTTTGCTCGCAGCGGTCAAGTTCTTCTTGATGCCTGCGATTTGATGAGCAAGCAAAATTAGCACTCTTTCTTTACCGTTTCTCCTGGTCTGCACTAAAACAACCTAGGAGGCACCTGACCCTCAAATAAAAACAGGAATGCACTTTGTCACTTATATTTCTCATGTTGCAGAATGTTTTCTGCACTGGAAACAAGCGATGTTAGTGCAAAATGCGCCACTGTAATCATTAGACTGATGGCAAATTCGCGTGGTTCTTTCCGCGCGCTCTCGAGCGCTCGTTCCAGAGCGCGCGAGATCGCGTGTTGGAAAGAGAGTGCTGTGGCCTGATCGGGTGGTTCATTCCGAGGGCGCCTCTCCCTCTCAGAGCGCTCCCTGGCACTCTGTCTGTAGCCGTCAAAGTGCGGAGCGGCGCGGGCGGTACTTGGATGGGGATCACGTGGTTTTGTTGACGATGGCCAGCAGCGGTCTGTGGTGGTGTGCGGGGTACGGCATGACGGCAATTGATATGTGGTTCTACAAAGTGCTTGTGAATTCGACGGTGTGAGGATTGTGACAGACGGGACGACATTCCTTTGCGACCGTAACAGGAAAAGTTGACGTGTGAAGTATCCCCAGTGCTTTCACGAGATCGTTCATCTCACGGCGGTGAATCCGCTAAGCCTAACCGACGAAGAAACATCTCGCGGAGCTCGCCGCTGTTTTATCGGGTTTTGTGATCGCTTCAAGAAATTTTCAGGTTTGGTAAAAGTGCGTTCAAAGGTTTGTGTTGTAAAATAAAGGGATAGCCGAATATAATGCACCGTGATTTGTGTCACATGGCAATGCTTGCACAATATTTTGCCGTGAGAAAAATGTGGTTTATTAACCATTTTTTATTTGCCTGTTCTGTCGAACGCACGACCGTTATCGCAGCACGTTCACTGACAAAAATGCGATGAGTGGACAACTCGTTCCAAGCGTTGGCTTTCGTTCCGTTCTGCGAAAATCAATTCGCATACTGCTGTTTTCTTCTTTTTTTTTTTTTTTTTTGCATGCCGATGCGTAAAACAATTTACGTCACAAAAGTTATTTCGTCACGTTGCGAGCATAAATTTTGCTCAATCGTCCAACATACGCTGTAAGATCGTGTTTTTAATGCATTACCAATGTCAAGAAATATTAATTCCGTGACTGGTCTGAGAATCCCGGAGCGCTCTGAAGCCAGCAGTTGTGATCGGCTGAAAAGGATCCCGAGTAGCTCTGGCAGCGAGGAGGGGGCACTCTGCTGAATCGAGGTCAGAGGAGAGAGGCGACCACGCGAATTCATCATGAAAAAGGCAGAGTTTCAACTCTGCCTTTTTCATGTTTCATGTTTTCAGTTTTCAAACAAAGAAAAATTCCGGTGCAAATAAAAACAAAAACTTCACCTTCATTGTTTTTTTTTTTTATATTTGGGTACCCTGTTGTACTCTATTTCGGCATTCATTTCTATTAAAAACATGTTGCACCATTTTATTGAGAAAGAAGAAACAACTTCCCAAAGTAGAGTCGTTTTTCAGAGCCTACACTTAGCACTGTCCTATACAGGAAGTGACTCTGAGTTCTAGTTTCATGAAACTAACACACATCTTTTATATATTTTTGTTCAGATGAGGCCATTGATAACCACTGCAATCGTTCACACAGTAAAAGTGAGGAGAAACTACTGTGCACAAAGAGCTATCATATTACGGACTAGTGATCCGAGGAAAGATCCTGCAGCCATTGGCCACTGGGAGCTTTGTTTACTTTATTTTCCTATGGCACTATATGCTCCTCTCTCTTACCCTCTATCTCCATCTTTCTCTTATATATATATATATCCCTGTCTTATATCTAGATGCGCAATATTTGACACAAGTAGCAGACGACACCCCGCAGGGGGCGCCTGTGAAAGCAGGTGTTTGGAGAGTGGCATCTCCACGGACCCTGAGCCCCACAGGGGGTGCCTGCACCTTAGGTGCGAGGTGCTCGGTGAGTTGCGTCACAACGGACCCCAGCTACATGGGCCACCATACCTGCACGCAGGGGGCACCTACTTTGATAGGTGCTTGGTGAGTGGCGTCACTACGAACCCCGAGCCATGTGGTTTCGCCCACCCACGTCTGGCTGTGCGTGGCTTAACCCGTGTCCGGGGAAAAGGGGACCCTGGTGGTTGAGCTGAGCCCGGGGTGTGTGTGGACCCTTCGGGGCCCCTCGGGCGAGGCAATACACCGCTTCGACCTCTGCTTCCCCAGCCGAAAAAACCAGTTAATACCAATTGGAAATTTTCCAATTGGAACCAATTAGGTTTTTAATTGGAACCAGCTAGGTTTTGGGACTCTACCAATTAGTTCCAATTGGAATATCAACTGGTTCCAATTGGAATACCCATTGGTTCCAATTGGTTTCCTTGACAAAACCAACTGAATCCCATTAGAAAGTCAACTAGTTCCAATTGGAATACCAATTGGTTCCAATTGGTTTCCTTAACAAAACCAACTGAATCCCATTAGAAAGTCAACTGGTTCCCATTATAAACCCAATTGGATCCCATTACAAAGCCAGCTGATTCCCATTGCAAACCCAATTGGTTCCCATTACAAAGCCAACTGGTTCCTTTTATAAAACCAATTAGTCCCTATTGCCAATGGGTTCCCACCACAAAGTCAATTTGTTTGATGTATATAGTGAACGACTCCTATTACAAAGCCACGCTAAAAAACTAGAACACCTAGGACCAGTTGGTTTCTAAATATTAACAGCTGCAGTGGTTCGATCAGTTGCCTACTCCCTTTTTAAGACAGACTCGATAGAAAATCGGATTTTTAACAAGTTACTATGCTGAATCTCACAAAAATCCTCTCGGTGCCAGCCGGAGCCGAGCACACTAAAGAGGGTCTCTGCATAAATCCCATCAATATGATTAGGAGCTTCTCAAAGAAAACCACTAGACAGCAATATCAATGGTAGGACATAATTTATTTTCCAGTGCTGATGCGCATCTTCGTGTCCTGGAATCAATGAGACTACAATAAATCACGAGCACAAAACAAGGCACATATGAACGCTATTTTAAATTTTGAGAAAAGAGTTTGCACCTTTTCAATTGTCATCAGACTCTCCCGAGTTCATAGCTGTGACAGCAGCTTCTGTCCTGGGTATAGTGAAGACCACAGAAAGCAAAAATAGATAAAGACAGGTAAAATAGAAGTTGCATCTCAAGTTTCGCATATGTACAACAGCATTGAATATAACGTACCTCTTCGCCTCCTTCCTCCTGAGGTCAGCAATTTTCTCATTGATGAGGGTGGTGACATCCTTTCTTGCAGCCTTCCCAGCAAGGTACCCTGGCATGCCCCCCTTTTGAAGTCGTTCTCTGTAACAGTCTATAGAGCAAGAAATAGCACACACATTGGCAGGCTTCACTGACGCTCAGATATCGTAATGAAAATATCAACCTAACCAGGTAACAAGCTGATGCAGTTAACAAAAAACAAAAACTGCAAAAAAAAAAAAAAGTAATAAATGATGGCTATGCCATTTAGCAGTACAATTTTGCTGATTGAGGTTAAACTGTTTGTGTTTGCATCCTCTCACTCAGGCTTCAAGATTTAGCACAAATGGGCTAATAACCTTCAAACGTCCTTTATGGTGTTTATGGTCCGGTTATATTGGTACTTTAAAGATTATATTGTTCTGTTAGAGTGCAAATTGTTTTTCCTTTTTTTTTCTCTCTTTGTTGTTCACTTCGTCAACTGCCGAGTCAGGCACACAAGCCCCTGAGGCTTCACCCGGCTATGTGACAAAAAAACAAACAATGTTCAATGTTCAAAATAAAAAGACTACTGTTATCTAGCAATCATTACCAATAATGGAAGTGGCTACTTACCTTCAATTACAGCAAGTTTCACCGGCGATATTGCCGGCTTCTTTGGCAGGCCAGGGTACCTTGGGGAGTGCTTGCCTTGCACCAAAATCAATGAAAGAATAATTAACATATTACAAGAGGAGCCAGTGTACCTCTTCGAAGTAAAGCCTAGGCATTGGGCTGTTTTAAAGGGGGGATTTTAAAATTAAAAGAAATTGCATCTTGTCATTTTTACATTGTTTATCCTGTCCCGGAGGACAGGGAAAACATGTCATTCATCAAAAAATGTCACGATTAAACTGCATAATCGCCAAGCAAAAGCCTAGCATTTTCCCCCACCTGCAGCTGCGAGTGGCAGCCGAAGGGACTACGTCAAGAAGCTTACGTGACCTCGCTCGGCTCAGAGCTGCAGTAAACGCCCGCTAATGTCAGCAGAGAGAGTAAGAGGAGGCGTCCTCCGAGAGAGCACATGGGAAGCTACACGGCACCCCGAATCACCCCACGAGGAGGAGGACCAGGTGTGACCCTGAAGGCTGGGAGTGAGTTGAGGGGTGCAAGAAATGCCATTCTTTATCTTTTTTTTACACAACAACTAGGACATGCAGGCCAGATCAGTTCTCTGGTCTTTACTTCAGAACTGTCAGAGGGCAACTTGCACGAAGTTTTGACCGAAGTCCAGAAATCATTGCATTGCCCCTTAAAGGGCTGGTGAACCGAAATTGGGATTTAAAAAAAACAATGCAGGAGATGCAGGCGGGACGCTACAATCCCTACAACACTGCTCGTAAGGCGATATCTCAAATGGACGGCCGTATTTTTGGAAAAAGTGGTCGAGCTTGAACCAGGCCGACGAGGCACGTGACGTCAAGAAACCTTGTTTCCTCCTCTCTTCGCTTCGCTCCCTCAAGGCGGCGAGGCGGAGAAGACGCGAGGCCGTTCCCTCTCGTCTCAGAGAAACGTGACGTCAACATTTCTGCCAAATGCGCCCCCTTTTTTGAAAAAATATGGTCATCCGTTCGAGATACCGCTGTATGAGTGATGTTTTGGTGTTTGTAGCATCCCGTTGCACGCTTTTGCCGCATGTTTTGGGGAATCCAGGTTTCGGTTCAGCATCTCTTTAAGGCTTGCAGCAAAATGGAACCTTCCATTAATGGCATAAGAAAAATCACTTGCAGCACACAGCTATTTCACCTTACATTGACCAACATGCTACGGATCTGTCACGGCTCGGTTACGAAGCATTCACAGTAAGGGTACCACTTACCCTTGGCAGACCTTTCCATCAGCTCTCGTGGTCCATATAAAGCGACAGCCAGCTCCTTCACGAAGATTGTGTCTTTTCCTGACCTGTCGACTTCCTCCCAGACTAGCCGGTTCAGGTGGATCCCTTGTCCGAGGTCCACCTTTACAAATTTAGAAAATGTGTGCAGTTTAAACAGACATGCTAAGAAAACTAGTTTGCACTGCCAAGGTGATCCCCTGAACAAAACACAAATGAGGCAAAGGTGGTAAGGAGAACATTACAAAAATTTCCTGAAATACTTGCAAGTGACAACCAATAGTTTGCTAATAAGAGAGCCAAATTTCACTGAAAATTCAACTCAGAGTGGCAGCATATCACTTTAGCAACAGAAAGATGGCCATACCTTGTTTTCATTAGGAGCTGGCTGTCGCTCTCTTAAATTGTCACCAGCAGCCTCGGAGAACCTCTGTGGCGATTCCACACACTTCTTTTTGTGATCTGCAAACAGTAGGTTAAAAACATTGTTAAGCACTGTCCTTACTGAGGCTATGGCTATACATTTTTGTGTCATAAGGTTTCAAAAAATACTCCCATGAACCCTCAGGTTTATGCCGCTTCACTATAAGACCTAGCTGCTTGCGGGTACTGAAGAAGCAAGATCTCGGTGTGAAATGTCGGCCGATATCCGAGGTTCCCCAATACAAATTTTTTTAATTTTTTTATCGCAGCTTTTTTATTTGTCTTTTGCTCATCATAAAATATGCAATAAGCATCGGGTCAAGGTCACTGTAATGCATTATTTCACCACCGCTAGCCGGTTGCAGCTAATATTGTAACAGGAAATTTATAAAATGGCAATTATCCTCAAGATTCTCAGAAAGCCCAATTTTTGTGACACGACTTTCTGAAAGGTATCATAAGGTATTAATAGAAATAAATCATGTGCTTCAAAAAATTATTTTTGCAGTTTGCGCATTGGTTGCATAAACCTTTGGTGGCAACATGTTGAGGCTTACGAGGGCAGAACAAATATTTGCATCACAATCAGACACAAAATTAGTTCTTAATCCGACCAGGTTTTGTATAAGTGAGAGGTATGTTGGCATGGCAATGGCCACTGCACACAGAATATTAAAGGGACACTGACAAAGTATTTACACTTGCTGGGATTTATACTAAGCAGTATCGGTAAAGGCCCAACCATCCCAGAAACACATCTGGAGCTTGAAACTGTGATTCTGCACAAAAACTACCAGTCAAAGATTGGATGTCAAGGTTCACTCTCATGTTTCGATAGTCTTGATGACACAGTGCAACAATTAGTTTTCTAGGCACATTACCTCTGTACAGTAAGGACATAAGATGTTATGACATGAGATGGTACACTTCCATTTGCCTCGACATGCACACAATGTGATTAACATTTTCTGCCCCTTACCAGGACCTGACTTGATGGTGCATTGCCCGAGGTGACTTGCAGGCTGGCTTGTTTCCTTGTCTGAAACAATCAACAACTTACAATAAGCTAAATAAGCATATACTTGGGGTTTCAGCAAAGATTGACAAAAACTCCTACGCTAAGTGCAATCGAGATAAAAACATAATTTTCTCAGGATGACATTACCCGGGGTGGCGGCGTCCGCCACCACGAGTTATGCCATCATGAGAAAATTATCTTTCTATTTCGATTACACTGAGCTTAGGAATTTTTGTCAGTGTTTGCTGAAATGCCCGGTATAAAGGGGTAGACCTAAGTCGAAAAAGCTGTCAACCCAATCAGCTAAGCACACAAATGAAGCTATTAGCGATTCCAGCGAAATCAACGCCGCGTAGCGGCAATGCCGAGAAGTTCAAGAGAGGAGGTTGTTTTGACTTTGTCGTGTGCTATCGCAGCTTGGTTCTCATAACCAGCATAGAAACAAACATTATTTCCAGTAATTATTTTCATGGTTCCACCGTGTCATTCCTACGCACTGACTAGAAAGTTTCTACCGTCGAAAAATGCTTCGCTATTATATGTAGCAACAATTTTACGCTGCAGTGCAAACAATTTAAGGTGGTCCGCGTGCTGAACGAGGAAAACAACCTTTTTTCATCCGCCATTTTGCCTGACCAGCGCATTTCCTATAGTTCGCTGGAGTCGCAAATAACACATCAGGAAAGACTAACTTGCACAAAAATACAACAGTTATGTATAGTACGGTCGACATATTTAACAATCACACTCAAAACATAGCCACATTACTGCCGTCCATTAAAAATGCAAAACAAGTTTGTGTTGCTCCTCATCCCATTACTGAACCAAAAATATATTGCAATTATGTTCTCACCTTCATCTTGCTTTAGTAACCTCTCTTGAAGCTTCATATTCAAGCTCCTCAACTGCGCAAGCTCTTTATCCTTTTCCTCGAGCTGGCTCTGCAGCTTCTTGATTTGTTCTTGGTCCTTAGAGTGCCTTTCTTCAGACTCTCGTTGAGGCGACGGCTTCATGTTGGCCAGAGAATGGGCTTTGCTCATACTTTTCTTCTTTTCTTCTAAAAGCTTGGCCAGATTCGTCCTCCCAGAGGTTTCTTGCTTCTCCTTCATTCGTTTCTATATCAGCCAGTAATAGAAAAAAGAAGAAAAAAAAGAAAGTTTATATGGAGTTGCAGATCGCTAGATTTAAACTTGTCTAACCTTCTCTTGTTTCCTCCCATCATTTCTTTCCTCTGGTGCGTCGTTGTCCGAGGACTCCGATGACAATACTTTTTTTATGCGCATTCTGCGCCGGTCCATTTTTTGTTTGACGTCGGCTTCAGAGACTACAAGGAAAAAAATATACAAAAATAAACGTTGCACTTATTTCCACAAACACAAGAATGATATGACTGTGTAGCGACTTTCTGAGTTACTAAAAGTACTATAAAGAAATCAAACAAAACACTTATATTTACCTCCCAAAAGTAGAATCCTGGCTTTGTAATATTCGTCGTCGTCACTGAAGCTTCCTTGCCCAAGCCACTTGACGGAATACTTCGCTCCGTCCACAAAGTCGCGTGAATGGGAGGGCTTGAAGTCTTTAATATTTTCCACAAGCACAATAGCCACACTTAGGTCGTCTTGATATCTGACACACGCGTGCGTGATCATTTTCGCCCTGCCAACGCAACAATCACCACAAACAGCAGGCTGACCACGCGACGAAAGAAAACACACAAAGAAACCTGCAACTGGATATCATTGGATTGGATTGGATCGAGTTGGATTAATGATGTTTGTTTTCTTTGGATTTGACTTGTTTTAATTTGGCGGTAAATATTTTTAATCTACTTGTTTTATTTCGTACTGGAAGTAATAATATTATGTATTTAGAAGTTGTACTTCTAGAAAATTACGCTATATTGCATTGCTTTTTTAGAATTCTTTTTCATGTTTTTATCCCACTAAAGTCAGTCTCATTGTGGTAGCCACTGGTGGTAGCCATCAAGACATGGCTGCCGGACAGACGCGTAAACCACATTTCTTCCCGTGCACGTCAGACTCAATGACCGCAGCGGAACGTCGATAATGTAGTCTAAGCCAGTACCCGTATTGTTACAAACTCCACGGATTACAAAGTTGTATATTTGTGAAATTACCTTGTACATCACTCGTACGACGGGAACAGCAGGATGGGGGATGCACCCGATGAACCCCTGCCTCCATCGCTAAAACGATCGCGTCCAAAGAAACGCAGACCTTATAAGCAGCGTTTGATTCCCGGCTCTCAAGAAACGGTCCCGAAGACAACAAGATATGCCCGAAGGCAGAAATCTTCAAAGGTTGATGAGGTGCGTATGTAAAATTATACAAGTTCTTTTACTTCCATATATAGTATATCGAGTCACCGTCGGTTCCTTTGTCACAACACGAGGTTATCAAATATATTGCTAAAAAATAACGCTGTGTCTAAAGGTACGTACGTCGGACCTATTCGGACCCCGGATAGATACGCGTCGGACGTACGCGTAACCGGGAGTGCGTCGGACGGACGTAGCCGCGATGGGGGGGTCGGCAGTTTTCATCCCATCTTTATTTCTCGATTCTAAGCACTCCTTTATTTTCATACCTGGGATGTTCAAAGAGGAGGGGGGCATTGCATTATTGCGCAGTCATGTTCACTTTTTACGTGTCGCGGCGCCCTTAAATATCTAATCCCGCTGTCTTCACCGTATCACACGGTATCGCAGATCTCTGCAGTGCCCTGGTTTCCGTTGTCTTTTGCGTACGTGACCACCGTTCGCTTTAATTTCACTGTGTACAAAGTCCTCTTTGCGCTCATGGTGGGCAGCGAAGTACTGAAGGTACTGAACGCCTGAACCATGTAAACAAAAAAAAAACGAACGACGACGAAAGAAACAGAACGCCTTACGTGTGCTTATATTCTAACGCGTCTGCGCAATAGCGCAAGTGCCGTTGTCTGCCGCCATCTGTCAACTGATGACGAAACCGAGTGCTAGGGACCCAAAGGTGGTGTGCTGCCGGCACGTAAAGGTGGGCACAAAACTAAAAGCGTGGATAGGACGTGCAAAAAGAAGGGGAAAGGACACTAGCTACGTTTCGGGCGCTCAGCCGATCTCTAATTTCTTGCAAAGAATTAGGGTGCTTGCATTCATATACAATTTTTTTTTAGACATTTATGATTGAAGTAGGGGCAGGGTGCTTCGAATCAGGGTGTAAGTATGATTTGCTTGCAATAAACGCGCTCGTCGTTCGTAAGTAGCATCGGATGCAACCGTGTTTTACTGGACCAGTTTCATCCGACGTATTTTTAGACTCCACGTTCCGGGAACGTCCGCCGTACCTTTAGACTCCTTGTTCCTAATACGTCCGACATACCTTTAGTCATGGCGAAAAAATAAAGCCAGTGGAGCATGTCAGCAATGTGTCAAAAGCACGCAAGTTCGTAGCATTAAGAGAGCTTATATCATTTTAATAATTCCTTGCTACGTATGTGCGTCCCCAGTGATATTTATCTATTTTATATCATAATTCAGAACTTTGGGTTTGATCGTATTTCGCAAGATATTTCAGCATCGAGTCTATTTGGGCTAAAAGTGCATGATTAAATATAGTCAATCAATCAGTCACACAGTAATTAAAATGTAGTGACTTATTCCTTTGTCCTGTTTTGTTTTAGACGTCTTCAAGCCAGCAAACATGCTTGGCCTCTAGTAGCAGTCACATGGAAAATTCCATCAACCATGACAGTGACTCTACAAGTGACTCTGTAAGTATAATCTTGTAAAGAGCTGCAAGATATATAAACTAGTTGCTGCAACTTTTCATATTTCTAAAGTTTCTGACTGAACTATTTTTGCTGTTATTGAAATGATATGGCTATTCCCCTTCTGCTCTCTTTAAGGTGTCTTTAAACCAGGATGCACCCTTGTTGCACACGTCTAGTGGTGAAGATGTACAAGGTCCAGCCTTCAACAGTGACTCTATGAATGATTCTGTGAGTGTGCCCTTGAAAATAACTGCATGATGTACAAATCAGTTGGAATGAAACCCAATTTTATTTTATTCTATGCTGTGCCTCCTGTCAGTTTGGGGGGAAGCTTTTAATGCATGCACAGTTCAGTTGAAGGGTGCAATGGTGCACCCTTCATTTGGATCTCTCGGCGATGACAGGCGGCGATTGGTTAAAATGAAACGTGATCGAGCAACATTTAGTATTTTCAAATTGAACTACGTGACTGCTTGAAGTGACATAACTTTATGCATCCTGCTTTATTTAAGGTGTCTTCAGACCAGGAAGCAGGACTGTTGCACTGCCCTGGTGTAGAAGATGTACCAAGTCCCTCCTTTGACTGTGAGAGTGACTCTACAGATGACTTTGTAAGTGTGTTCTTAAAGTGAATTGCATCCTGTATCTGAAGATTTAACAGCTTTCTTTAATATTTTAATTCTGAACTGGAAAGAACTGCTTTCCCTTGCTCTGTGTCGGATGCCTTTGGGACAGGATGTGTCATGTGGGACGCTTTCAACACCCCTTGCAGAACTCTTGATACCGAGCCTTGTAGCCTTCAAATCAGAGTTACGAAAGTATTGGAAGTTGTCACGGCATGCAGTAGTAGAGAAGAAATTTTGCTTCTCATGTGTCATACTTGGGATTCTTCATATTTTGTCAGTTAGAGGTTATCTTGTCCGCCGAAGTATTTATCAAACAGGCTTGTTCCCTCTCATGCGCTTGGCTTCTACAATATTGCAGAGAACTTAATAAATGAATATGTATTATGAGCACCAGTTTGGCCACTCGACTCACAGAAGCATGAGCATGTGAGAACTGGCTCGCAGGTTAAATAGCTTACATAGACTACACTTTCTGTATCATCGTACTGTATTCACTGGAACTCTACTGCTGTTTTGAAACAATGAGTGCAGTATTTTTATTCGAGTCCTAAGAATAAGTGAAAAAAAAAAAGAACTATTGTTTTTCCTTTCGCATGCACATCTACACAGTGTAATTAACTTTTTGTTGAAAGCAAAAAAAAAAAAAAATTTTTGTTTCTGTTAAGGATGTTAAAAAAACGTCTGTGTGGACTTCAGTATCAAAGTAATGATGGTATGGCACTGCTAGCTCCTTCCAACTATCAAACATTAATGGATTATTTTACCCTGATTTGTAACAAGTCTTTCCACTTTCCCAGGACTCAATCATTGAAGTCGCTGAGCTAGGTGAGGATGAGTGCCCTCCAAGTCAAGAACCGGAAGATAAGAGTGCAACCTTTTTTTCAAACCTCTTCAAAGGGATTGTGAATGAACCTGTTGTAGTATCTAGAGGAGAACTGTTGCTCATGGTACTAAAGTATGCTGTGTCCAGTAACCTCACTTTTACTGGCCTCTCCAACCTTACAAAAATGGTTAACAGTATTTTTAGTAAACCCGTTTTACCCGAGTCACGTTACATGTTAACACAGGCGCTGAAGGACTCTAATAACCACCTGACTTTTCATTTTTATTGTGTCCACTGCTTCTTCTACATTGGATTGCTAGACAGCAATAGCTCATCGTTTAGATGTCCACATTGTACGAAAGTCTGTAAAATTTCTAGTTTGTCAGAGGCACCGTTTTTCGTCACTTTGGACATTCGTGCACAACTTCAGACTATTTTGAAATCTGAGGATTTCTTGGATCTGACAGAGGCCCTTCCCTCAAACAACTTCTTTGAAGACATTGTAGATGGGCAAAAGTACAAGTCTTTTGTTGAAGCTACAGCCCACTGTGGAAACAGGGTGAGCATGACATTGAACACAGATGGTGCTCCTGTGTTCAGTTCGTCCTCAACTGCCATATGGCCCATCCAGCTCACAATAAATGAACTGCCTTCAGCAACTCGCATGAGCAAGCTCGTCCTGGCGGCCCTGTGGTTTGGAAAGAGCAAACCAAGGATGGACATTTTTCAAAACGTCTTTGTTGAGCAGATGAATGACTTGTCTCTGGAGGGATTTTGTTTGCAGCATAAGGGTGCCATGAAAGTTTTCAAGGCATTTTGTATCTGCTGCGCCGTCGATTCAGTGGCCAGAGCTCCTATGCAGGGCATTTCGCAGTTTAATGGCTACTTTGGCTGCAATTGGTGTTTGCACCCTGGGGAGTACCATGAGGGCTCTGTGAAGTACCCTGCTCTAAAGGATGACCCTCCAGAGAGGACAGAGACCCAAATGGTAGCAGATATGGAAGAAGCTTTTAACACACAGAAAGTAGTTAGGGGAGTCAGAGCCATATCTCCTTTAATCAACCTTGAGCACTTTGACATTGTCTGGGCATTTGTGCCAGATTACATGCATTGTGTGCTGCTCGGGGTTGTACGTCAGTTTCTTGCATACTGGCTCGAAAGCCCAAAGTCCGAGTTCTATGTTGGGAACAAAATTGCAGAGTTAGATGAAAGACTCCTTGCAATGAGGCCACCAAAGGACGTAAGGCGAATGCCAAGGTCTTTAACAGAAAGGAAGTTTTGGAAGGCCAAAGAACTGGAGAACTGGTTACTATATTATAGTATACCAGTGTTGGAGGGCTTTTTGCCAGATCGTCATCTTCGTCACTGGGCACTCTTGGTGGAGTCCCTACATGTAATGCTGGAGAAGAGGATATCCATTTCGGACATTGATGCTGTTGACATAATGATGTTAGAGTTTGTTGTCACTGCTCAACACTTGTATGAAAAAAAGAGCATGTCCTTTAACATGCATCAGCTTAGCCACCTCGTGAAAAGTGTTCGTCTCTGGGGGCCACTATGGGCTCACTCAGCCTTTCCATTTGAATGTGGAAATGGATATCTGAAAGCTCGGGTAAAAGCATCGAACGGTATTCCCCAGCAACTCTGTCGAGCCTTGGCACTGCAAACTGCAGTATGTAAACTAAGTGAGCTGACAAGCAGCAGAAGGGTCTTGGAGTACTGCAATTCACTTGATACACAGACAACACAAAAGACAGTATCTATGTCTGAGGAGGGAGTGCGCTTTTTTGGAAGGGGAACTCCATATGTAAAATTTTGTGGTCCTCTTCAAAGTCCTAGAGAATTTTCTTCCCAGGCTGTCGAATTTAAATGCATGCTGTTTAACCAGTCTATACTGACAACTTCCTCCTACAGTGTTAACAAGAAAGCCAACAACTCTGTTGTCAAGCTTATGGATGGTAGATACGGCAGGATCGAAAAGATTGTTCATGACAGGTCCACTTTTGTTGTCCTGATGCAGCTAAAATGTTCGCAAACTCCGTGTTTTCCAAAGTCTCGAAATAATCATCTTCATCGAGTGTCGGACGATAAGATGTGTTCACTGCAAGTTGTTTCTATTTCTGAAATTTCAAATGTATGCACTTATATTGCATTGCAGAATAAGTTTGTTGTCGCAGTTCCTAGCGCTCTGACATTGTAAATAACAAAAATGGGTCATGGGATGAAAGCTGTCAGTAAGAAACTGTAAGATGCCCTTCTCTTCAAATCACAAGCAGGTCTATTGCACATCAGCTTTTCAGCACAAACTTTTTTGAGCAGGTGGTAACCTAAATTGTAGTGATATGAAAAATGTAAACATGTCGGGCATGCCCCTACAGAGGACTGAGGATTCATTAGTTACCTAGACCTTTTGAAGCGCAACCAAAATTTTAATTACATCATGCTTTTTCTGTGTCTGGGTTCAAACCTGCTTACTGGAAATCCGTAAGCAAGCACATTGAGTCTACACCACTCTAGCGGTACCACACGAGAAAGGATATATGACAGAGTCTAGGTGACGAAGATGATAAGTGAGAATAGAGACTATTTTTTGATCATCTAGTATTGCATATTGCAATAAATATTACTAATCTCTTATCTTATGTCTTTTCTTTCCTTTTTGGTTAACTTACATTTAAGAATGCTTTTTTCTATTTGTCAACCTTGCAATTTCCCAGGACCGATCGAGAATCAGTGCCAGCTTACATTTGAGTAAATATGATAGTTTAACCTTAAAGGGAAGCTGAAACACTTCTTGAAAAAAACGAGTTAGAGGTGAATTCTGGCGTATTTTTATCCCGTGAATCTGAATATCACTTTTGTTTTCCCCGAAGATGCAACTAAAAGCGAGAAAAAGCGAAAAAAACATTCGACCAGTCGTGACGTCATACTAGGATCTTCGGGCCTCCAAGCGCGTGTCGCTCGTGTGTTCAGCGCGTGCAACGGCAAGCTTGCCAGGTATATTTCCCCGCACTGACACCAGTCGTGTCGTCTCTTTCTGACCTTTCTGAAAATAGCAAGAGTGCGCGTGCATAGCTTTGACAGGCGCTGAAGATGCGCGAGAGCAGATATTCCGAACGCTCCTAGTGTGACGTCACGCCCCGGGAAGGAGGGGCTTCGGCGGTACATTAATAATTAATTTCTGAAGCCTCCGTGCACCAAATTGAAAAATAATCTTGATATTCCTGATCCTGGAGGTAGAATGAAGGCCATTGAAATGTTTTTTCTCAAATAGAGAGCCGCTTCAGTTTCCCTTTAACAACTTTTTCTTGCCATATCTTCCTATTTAAAAAAAATGCCTGCTTGGAATTTAATTACAAATTTTGGCAGTTTATGAGCCAAACCAACATAGGGCATTTGGCATGCCCCAGATGAAGACTGGGGATTAATTGAGACCCCCTGGGGGAACTTTTGACATGCAGTTGAGACCTAAATTACACGGCGCTTCTTCCATAATAAACCCTGACATGAAACGGGCTCTACTCGGCCTCGGTGGCACTCGGCAAAGGCTAGCACTCTGCCGCTGTGCCACCGAGGCAGCTCTTGCCCGCACTATGTTGAAATGTTCATGAAGGTGTTGAGACTTTTGGCAACAGGACATGCTAAGCCCAGACAAGTCGTTTCTTTTGCTGCCGAAGCATCAAGTGTACACACCACATTCATGACACCCTTGTGAAGCAAACAAAACCCACTTTTTAATCTGCTCAGCAATGTAATATGATGTACCCAGTATATAATATCCATGTTAAAATCTGCTCAGCAATGTAATATGATGTGCCCAGTATATAATATCTGTGTTAAAATCTGCTCAGCTATGTAGTATGATGTACCCCGTATATAATGTGCCTGTGTTAAAATGTGCTCAGCAATGTAGTATGATGTACCTTGTATATAATGTGCCTTTGTTGAAATCTGCTCCGCAATGTAGTATGAAGCACCTACTATATAGCATGCCTGTGTTACATTTTAGTGCACTGTGAATACATCATTAAAGGCATGCTGTGTGTGTGACCAGTCACATGTGTGTATGACATGAACTGCAGTTAACCATTCCAGTATTTATTGAACCTTCCCAGCTTTAGTGTCATTTCTTCATCTGTCAAATAAATAACCTGGACTATGCCAAAAAGTTTGTGGCATTTCTTCATGTGGCAATGTCTTGACTGCTTGTGACAGACCACTCAAGCTTGGCCATTTAAGTATTTACTATTGTACCAAAAAGGTGATTAGGCTCGCTCAGTTGATTCCATTCTTGGCAGACTAAAGAAATCCTTTCTTAAACCGGTTGTTGAATTAAGGCAATGTCAGTGTACCCTGTATATAATGTACCTATGCGAATGTTTTTTTTTTTGTGAATGTATCATTCAAGTACATATTTTGTGCCACATGCCTATATACTAGCAACGTCTATACCCTCCAATAAAAGGCTGAATATTTCTACAGAATCTCTCGTTTTGATATCCACTTTGTTGTATATTAAGAAACATAAAAATATGGGTGCACTCCTTGATCATGAAAAAAAAAATACAAGCTGAAGATTGTAAAGCTTGTAAATTGTCTAATTTTATGTCGGACAATCTAAATAAGAACCTTGGAGAAAGACAATTATAGATATAAACTGACATCTTATTTCATTCTCCAAAGTGGCCAATTGAGCAATGGATGCCAACTGTACTTCCAATAGGAACCAGTAAACTTTCCAATTGGGACCAAGTAACTTGCTGAATGGGATTAATTGGCTTTCTAATTGAAACCAGTTAACATTTTAAATGGAACCAATTGACTTCCCAATTGAAACCAGTTAACTTTCCAGTTGGAACCTTACCAACTGGAACTCCAATGGGAAAACCAATTGGTCAAGTTAGGACCAGTTAAGTCCAATTGAAACCAATTGGAAATCCAATTGGTTTTAATTGGAATTTTCAGCTGGGTCTCGTAGACGGGTGTCCTGGCTTAGCCCGACCAGGATGACTCAGTCAGTCGCCTCTTCTACCCTCTTCTTCCTTCTTTCACTTTTCCTCCCACCTCTTTCTCTTTTCTTCTACACTCTCTTCCTTCCTTTTTCACCTTCTTAGGCAGCAAGGGCCAACCTTGAGTGGAAACAGGTCCTGTCCCTGCAACCAAATTAGGGTATAGTGCCCGGGCAGCACTGGTAGAGTAATTGTGTCAGCCAAGCCCTTCTTGCTATTGCACATTACCTACCCCCTTGTTGGGCTCCGTGGTGGGCGGTGCATCCGGGCGCTGAAGTTTCCTCCCCTCTCATATGGGTCTGCGCAACAAAATCTTTCTTGATCGGCATCTGAAAAGAGGTTGCACCGAAGCTCAAGTCACTCTCGAAACATCCATTGTACCTGAAAAATTTCCAAAATTTCTTGTCTTGAATTCTGAAGAGGAAAAACCACTTTCTAAACTGTCCCCTTTCCTGGTCGCCAAGGTACTGGAAGGAATCGTTGGGAAGGATTACTCTGCAAAAAAGATAGCGTCCGGTGACCTTCTAGTTGAGATCAACACCAAAAAGAAAGTGAGGCCCTTCTTTCTCTCAATGCTGTGTCTGACTATAAAGTAAATGTTACTCCACACCGTCCCCGCAGGGGGCACCTGTGAAAGCAGGTGTTTGGAGAGTGGCGTCTCCACGGACCCTGAGCCATGCGGGTTCGCCCGCCCACGTATGGCTGTGCGTGGCTTTCCCGTGTCCGGGGAAAAGGGCATCCTGGTGGTTGAGCCGAGCCCGGGGTAGGTTTGGACCCTTCGGGGCCCCCCGGGCGAGGCAATACACCACTTCGGCCCCTGCTTCTCGTAGACGGGAGTCCTGGTAAGGCCCGGCCAGGATGATTCAGTCTAGTCGCCACTTCTACTATCCCCTCTCTACTTTCACCCTTGTCTTCTCCTCCTTTTCACTCTTCTCATTTCTCTTCTTTCCTTTTCAACTCCTTTGGCGGCAAGGGCTAACCTTGGGTGGCGACAGACACCTTGTCCAGAACCACTCTTGGTTATAGAGACTGGGCAGCACTAATAGAGTAACGTCTTCAGCCAAGCCATTCTTGTTATGGAGCGTTACCTATTCCCTTGTTGGGCTCGGTGGTGGGCGGTGCACCATAGTTTCCGAAAACCCTCCCCCTTTATATGGGTTCCAAACTTAAACCTTTTGATCGGCCCCCCAAAAGGGGCCGCACCGAAGCTCAAGTCACTCCCGAAACATCCAAAGCACTCGAAAAATTTCCAAAATTCCTGGTCTTACACTCTGAAGAAGAAAAACCACTTGCCAAACTGTCCCCCTTCTTAGTCGCCAAGGTACTGGAAGGAATCGTTGGGAAAGATTACTCTGCTAAAAAGATGCCATCCGGTGATCTTCTTGTTGAGATCAGCACTAAAAAGCAAAGTGATGCCCTTCTTTCACTCAACGCTGTGTCTGAATACAGAGTAAACGTTACTATACACCGCAGACTTAATACAGTTCAAGGAGTTATCTCGGAGGACGACCTAATGGACTCATCTGAGGAAGAACTCGTTGAAGGCCTTTCAGACCAAGGAGTTGTTGCCGCTCGTCGCATCACCCTTCGTCGTGAGGGTGTAGAGCGTAAAACAAGGCACATTATACTGACCTTTGACACCACCACTCTCCCAGAGGCCATAAAGGCAGGCTACCTCCGGTGCCGTGTTCGCCCCTATGTGCCGAATCCCCAGCGGTGCTTTAAATGCCAAAGGTTCGGCCATGGGTCACGGAGCTGCCGGGGAAGTGACACTTGCGCAAAGTGCTCCAGTAAAGAGCATGTTGCTGACAGTTGTGAGAGCGAACCGAGATGTGTCAACTGTGATGGCCGTCACCCAGCATACTCGCGCTCTTGTCCAAAATGGAAAGAAGAAAAAGAAATACTTACTTTGAAGACCACAGAAAACATCTCCTACCATGAGGCTAAAAAACGTTTCTCCTTCCTATCTAAAGGAGGGTATGCCGAGGTCGTGCGCAGGGGACCCACACGACCTTTAATGGCATCGGCGGGAACACAGACCCCTCCTGGGGGGGTGTGTCTCCCGTCAGTGTCCCCTCTAAAACCAGCGGGTGCAATGCCAGCTGCACTGCACCCCAACCACACGGTGGACGCTGTTCCGTCAACGTCCACCTTGAAGCAAGGGACGGCAACCCCCGCTGCCCCTGCCTCCCTGCCTCCTCGAGGCCGGGGACAACCCCGCGTCTCGACCCAACAGAGACCTAGTGAGCCGTTAAGGCTGCCTACCCCCCCAGGTCTCCCTCCGGCTCCTCCTGAGGAGCCTATGGACGAGGGTGGACCCAAGTCCGGCGAGGAAAGTTTCCTTGCTGGATTTGACTCCTCTCTTTCTGCCACCAGTGACTCCACTGGCCAGCAGAAAGAGGCTGTAAAGAAGAAAAACGCCCCGCGCAAAAAAATAGATTTTAAGCCATAGTCACCTCATTTTACTTTTTACCAGTTTTTATATTCACTTTTGCACTGGCTAAGCATATAGGCATTATGCAGTGGAACTGTCGCGGCCTTCTACATAACATAGATGACATCAATTCGTTTTTTGATGAGCTCCGTCCTGTTGCTATTTGCCTACAGGAGACGTATCTTACTGATTCGCACACGCAGGTTTTGCGTCATCAACAAGTTTTTAGGAAGGACCGCCATTCCTCAACCCCTTCGGGTGGTGTAGCAGTGGTGGTTCAAAGTGGAGTGGCATGTGCTGAAGTTCCTTTACAAACTTCACTCG